TAAATTCTTAACCTGTGTGGGATGGGATATTGCATGATGATTTTTATGCTGTTGGAGCCACTTCCTGAGAGACGGGAAGGTGGACGTCCTCAGAAAACCATGACGATTCAATGGCGGGAAGCTATCCTTGGGATCACAATGGATGGTGGACAGAACCGTCGTTGTCTAATGTGAACACTAGTATTAAAACTTGATCAGTCTATGCTAGGTCTTAGGCTTGTGAAAAGAATTACAAAACTTGCTTTGTGCAAAAGAACCATAGCCATTCCTTGAATACCCTCTATCATGTGCATTGTTGCTGTGGTGGCTTGCTGAGTACGGTTGGTGCTCACCCTTGCAATATACAAACTTAATCAGAGGTCGGAGATGAAGCTTCGGAGGATCCCTACGCTTACTACCAGGAGGATGATGAAGACGATGGCGCTCAGTAGGTCTTAGTTACGGTCGTTACCTGTGGCAATGGCGTGCCGCTGTCTTAACTCCGCTACCTTATCTACTTCTGCTTTTGGAATGTATCCCGGACCGCTCGGTCCGATGATCTAAGACTATGCCTGCGGGCTTATGATGTAATAATTAGCACTAGACTCTCGTGTATGTGCATTTGGTATGTTAGCTATGAACTCGTGTGTACCAGACTACTTGATCCAGGGAAATGGTACTGTTTACACGATTGATTCCTGTTACAAAAATGGGAGTCCACAGCATCCCCCTTCCTCCTCTCCTTTCCGTCGCCCTTCGCGCGCCCTCTCGCGCCACCGCTCACCGCCGGTGGCCGTGCACCGTCGCATGTCATGTCTCGGCTGGGCCGGCTCTGAGCCGTGCCCGTGCCCTGGGCGCCCTGCCCTGTGGCCGCCCGTGGACCACCCGTGGTCTCGGTCCATGGTGCCGTCCCGGCCGCAGTGGACCGTGTCCACCGTGCGCCCTCCCCCTTGTGTCACTGACATGTGGGACCCGCCTGTCGGCACCGGCTTCCCTTGCTGACGTCAGCGGCGGTCCTTTTCCTTTGTAAAAATAAATATTAATCGCGCAATAATGCGTTAATAATTATAGAAATTTATTTAAATGGCTCAAAACTTCTAAAATTCATATCTAATTCATTCGAACTCCAAATTGGGCCGTTCAACTTGCAAAATTCATCTAAAATTGAGGTCTACATGATTGTTTACTTTTTTATGTACTATTTGTTTGGTTTTTATTAGAGTTTTTCCTCGTTTTGCGTGCCAGCGAGTAGAATCCATCGTTTCGGAAGTCCGCGGTCGCTAGGAAAAGAGTTCAGAAGATCAAAGTTAAGAAGCAAGCAAGTCACACATTCCCCTTGAGCATTTTGATCCTAATTTACAAATGTTTTACCGTTTGCAAATAAAATTTCATGTCTTGCTAATTACATGGGATCAGGGTTTACCTATCTGCTCGCTTGTGCCATGTTTACTTGATATCTGTCCTTTGTCAACCGTGGGTAATAAATCGCCTAGCTTGTATTACTTATGTGACCTAGCTAGAACTTTATGCTTAGCCATGCTTAATTACCACTAGCTCAATTGATGGGATAATTACAGTTTTAGACATCTAGTATCTTGACAAGCTGCGTGCTCGAGACATCTAGCCATGTTTCATGGTCGTAATTATCCAACTAAAATGCAACTGAATGGTGGGCTGTGGGTGCATGGTTTTGTTAGTTGTGCCCATGGCAATTAAGGACCGGTTCACGAGAAACCCTAGAAGAATTACAGTGCTTACCACAAGCGGGAGTGGGTAACTGCTTGATCTGGAGTATAGCTCGACCCTTTCCTAGGCACCGGTGGCGAGGGTGGGCGTCATGGAGTTGGGTCGGCCGGGGTGTCCGGTTGTCCAGCTGCCGGATTCACCGCGGCGCACGAGGGGACTGCCGGCTGCCTTGCGAGGAGTGCAGGTGAAACCTTAGCGTGGTGTGGATGGTTAGGGGAGAGTTATATGAAGGGTCTTGTCACAATCACTCGACATGGTGACGTGTTCATCATGGGCACATGATGACACGGTGACATGCCGGTGGATTGTGTCTTGTGGGTACAGTTGTGCACCTCTGGCCAGAGTAAAACTATTCGAATAGCCATGCCCACGGTTATAGGCGATCAACCAGATTCACCGTGATTAGTCTCACACTTAATAAATCGACCCAATGCACTGTAGTTCAGGTGGATTGGTTGGGCCTGTTCAATGTGGTGTAGCGTTGTTCAGTCGAGAGTTAATATTACCTTAATTACTCAACTGTTTTACTGTTTTGATCAATAAAATGTTCTACAACCGCCTTTATGCAAATAGCCACAAACCATCCTCGTATCCCCTTGCACGTCTGCATCATTGGTATGGCTTGCTGAGTACGGTGGTTGTACTTAGCCTTGCTATTGTTCCCCCTTTTCAGAAGTGTAGTGCTTCTGAGCTGAAGCCGAAGTTAGAAGACCAAGGCTCAGACCCCAGTTGAGTTTTGCCTGTGGAGTGGAGCTGAAGCCCCGCTAGGATCGCCTTTTTTCGCTGCTGTCGTTCTCTTTCGGTGTGAGGACTAAGTGCCTCTTCTGTAAGTATTTTACGCTTTATTTACGTTTGGAACTGTATATTACTTGTCGTTTTGTGTACCCTGGTTGGTCCTGGACAGGGATTTAGTACACAAAATAGTCTAGAAATTTGGGCTAAATTTCTGGGCGTGACAAAAACCCAGCCCGGCCGAGGCCGGGCTGGCAACGATGGCACTCGATCGTCATTCCCCCTACTGAGGGTGTTGTCGTGCCGTCTCACCCCATCTAGTGGTGGCTGCCGGGTGAAAGCCCTGTCAAGGTTTCTCCAGACCTTGACAGACAGCAGCGGCGATGCTACTGTCGCTTCTCTCCATGGAGACGCCGTCTAGGTAGCACCCTTGCCAAAACCTCCCAAACATCTGTTGCAAGCTCGTTCTAGAGTCATTTCCTCTTGTATCGGCGTCCTAGTTTATACAAGTTGGCTATGTCGAAGGGCCTAGGGGGGAGAGCGGTTCTATTATTCTCTCTCACCCTCTCTTCCTAAATCCCTAAGATGTGGATAGAGTGTGTTTTTGTGTCGGTTGTAAGGGTTGGGTTTTGAGCGATCCTAGTTGTAGTTCCTTTGTTGGCTTAGCGGCGGTCGGCCAAGCTTAGAGGCAGCCGGTCCGATGCTAGTCTTCTCCTGGGATTGTGTTTGGCGTCGTCAGTGTGTGGGTGGTGGTATTCTTTTTTCCTTTTCCTGGTTACGATGTCCCAGGATTGTAATCTTATAATTTTTTTCTATTGTATCAATATGAACTTTGCACTGACTAGTTCAAAAAAAAATCTTGTGTCTTTAGGTAGACCAAACAATCCAATTAGTCTGTGATTTTTTTTAAAATATGCTCAAATAATAAAAGCAAGGCCAATGAATCAGGGAAGCATTCAAAAAAATCACATCCCAAAAGTAATGGTGCATCTTTAGTTATACTAGAAAAAATTATCTGGGCATTGCAACAGGTGAAGGCTATTTTATTTTAATCTTATTATTGTCCACTCTGAAATTCATTGTGAGAATTCGATGTTATATGGTTTAGTTAAGGTGAGATTCACTATGGGAATTTGCTTGGATATATAATTTTTTAGAAAATTATGAGCTGCAGTTAGGAGTCCGTTCGTATCAAGTTAGCATGCGAGTTTTTTTACGACTCCTTCTGTATTTTCATTCAAAAGTGAACGAACTTAAAACCCGACTTAAATACGGATCTGTATTTTCAAAAGCAAACGAACTAAAAACCGACTCATACACGGATGACGTACAAAATTACCGGTAAAAACATTTTATAGTAGTAGAGAGTTGCCAAACTTAAAAACCGACTCATACACGGATGACGTTCAAAATTACCGGTAAAAACATTTTATAGTAGTAGAGAGTTCTAAAAACATTTTATAGTAGTAGAGAGTTCCCGTCTGTGTTCTCGCTGAGCTCCTTGAATCGATCCCAAACGGGTGTCTCCTACACTGTGCAGTACAATTGAACTCTAAGGCCCCATGAATTTAGCCCTCACATCCCACAGCCAATCCATTCATTAACTTATATAAAAGGTGATTGACTTTTTTAAAAAAGTTGGCACCTTAGGTGTAACATCTTTATTTATCATCTCACGTCATTTGAACTTAAAAAAAATGCTTGCATAAAATAAAACAAAAAATAGGAAATGCCAATAAGAGTAAAGCGGACCAATTAGGGAAAATCTTATAAGGTCTTAGAAAAAATTGGTTCTTCCTTTTCACCAAAATTGGAACACCCGTTACCATATCCATTGCGTCATTTTTTAGTGTTTAGATGCTAATACCCTTCAGGTGGCATTATTAGTTTCACTACATCATGCACACAAAAGACATAACCCACTAAGGTAGAAATATATAATTGGTTTAAAAGTTATATTAAACTTGATATTCACTTTGTTTTTTTCTTAAAAAAATACTATGGGTCTAACACATCGTAGGGAAGCAGGGGCTAGATAAGTATTCGAATTATGTCAATATGAATCAGTAAGAGGGATTGTTAACTTCATGGAACAACTGAAACATAATTATTTGCAATAATAGTTTTAAAAATTTTGTTAAAAAAGAGAGCCCGTAAACATTCCATTTGAATAAAAACTACTTACTTTTAATTTACACTTACCTGTTTCCAAAACAAAGTATACTTTTCTTTTGAATGATAAGTCAGATCATAGTTAATTTCTTACCGAATGAATATTGTATAGTATGTAGTGTAAAGCCAACGAATAGCTTAGAAAAAGTTACCCAAGCAATACCGATTAATACCGATTAAGAAGGTTTTTCAGACAAGTCACAATTTTTGAAATATAGTATGAATAATCCGGTTGATGGTATATAAGTCTCTAAAGCTGACAATAAGATACACGCCCGCACATTTGCGTGGGTTACCTTTCTAGTCTAATTTAAGAAACTGTTGGGAACAAACTCGATACAAATTGGTAAAACACCTGGAGAATATAATAATAAACAAACTCGACAAAGACAGGGTTTTGGTGCTGTCAAGCAGCAGCATTTTCTGGTTTATACTCAATTTAAAATAGCAAATCAACATACATATCATGGGAGGGCAATGCCACCATGTGCGCCACCCCCGTCCACGTCATGTGCCATCCCACACGCCAAGCATGCCACGCAACTAGACGCACTCCGGCTTGAGCCAGCAAGCCACAAGCAAATACAGACGCAACAAGACAAGGAAAAAAAACAGAAAAAAAAAAAGAACCAACAAGAAATGTTCCATCAGAAATAGACTTCAAAACCATTAGTTCATTACAAACAATCTAGATCAGTCATATGCTGAACCCAGATAAGAGATAAACTTGATATATCCACCAATGACCAATCACTGTAGGGACTTTAGTGTTGTTCTTCCAAGTATATGAATCTTGTATGGATCGATCATCGATGTCGGTGACCGTTGTAGTCAATTGAATCTACCTGCAGTTGGAATTATAGAAGAAATATATCAGATTTGCAGAAAAGAAGTTGTGCCCTTTCAATATGCTCCATATATGATAAGTTCACAATGCACTATAAAAACAGGTTCTAGTTTTTGACCTCCTGGTATAAAAGTTTGAATATTTGGTACAAACATAATGTCTGACATATGTACATGTCTATATAAATAGAAGGCTACTGCAGAACACTATACCATTCCAACAGAATAGATTATATATAACGACATCAGCACGGTATCTTAGTTAGATCTGATATTTTTAATACTAGATAGGTACCAGATCTAGTACCGTGGTACCTGATACAATACCCATAGGTATTATATTTGGTGCCAATGATACCAGATGATACTGCATGGTACTAAATCCTGCTACCTAGGTACCATGCTGACATCATGATGATGTCAGCTATTCCGTTAGAACAGTGTATCGTTTTGTAGTATTATGATATAAATACCATGCAATTAAAATATCAGAAGAACAAATAATTTTGAAATAAACATTTTCATGTTTAAATTTATCTAAACTTGGTGAAAGGATTCCATAGGTTATGAATAAAAATAATATAGATGCATATGGGTTGCACACTAGTAAACTAGACCATATAGCCTTTGCTTACCGTACTACTAAGTAACCTAGTTGAAAACAAAATGGCTAATTCTGTGTATCTTTTCTACACCTCCATCTTGGTGTGCGCACATAATTGTTGCTGATTTACTATGCAGATAAACAAGGAGTACCAAATGACAGCAGGCCGCCATTATAGCCAGCACTCAAAAGTTAGCCACTTAGCTTCAAACAGTCTTATCATTTTTTTTTTTGCCGAACTAATATTTTGGTGCGACTTTTCATCAGATATTTTACAGTGCTGGAACTTCAAAAGAGTGCAAAAATAGTTTTTCTAGGGGAAGTATTGAGAGGTTAAATAACTATTCCTGAATCCTGAACAGTGCCAATTAAAATGTAGGGCCTGGGTACTGTGGGCCTGCTGGTTTCCTATTAGTTGGAAAATACAGATAAGAATAGTTTGTTTCCTTGCTAATTTGGTTTCCCTCAGATATATTCACATGTATTAAAGATAAAAATTACATTGTAGATAGAGTTTTATCTTGTGGGGCCAAGCCAAGTAATCTGTACAAAAAGGTAGAGTGCTAGCATGTATAACTATTACTAGTAAGCAAGCAATGAAGATGAATTAACCTAGTCTCTCCCCCTTTCTCAAAATTGTTCATCCAAATCTATGATCTCCCATCATGTACATACATACATACACATACACGCACACACATATATATACCTCACTATGTTACCTCTCAATTAACACTAAAAACATTTCTAGTTCCCAAGGTCCGGAGAAAACCACGCAAGGAAAATTAACACTAAACATTTTACAAATTGCACTTGTATTCTTCTCTTACCAACCTGTTACAACCAAGAATCGCATGCCTAGTGGTATTGCTAGCCATGCAATTCATTTCCAATAAATCCCTAAATTTCAAATAGGACCTTTACTTTATTTCCCACTATACACCACTGTCCTCCATAACTTCATTTGGGGTTTCTCAAAAAAAAAAAAACTTCATTTGGAAAAATCAACCAATGATGGAATCAGCATGATCAACAAAATAAAGAGGAAAATATAATAAAGCAGTGTTGCAGTAACGGAAACAAACTTGAAATGGAATTCTGTTATACTAGCCATGCAAATCTATAGAATATTTTTTGCTTATTGGCTTATAGAGGTATGTGGATAGATTTGACCTGAGAATAGAGCCTTTGGGCAAGGCCTTCTTATAGTATTGCGCTGACTGCCGCTTGTAGAGCAATGACTGATCATAGCCACCTTCTTTCTGAGGCCACACTAGGTTATCCCACCAATCCTTCTCACAGTATACTATGGGTCTTGGTTCATGCAATCCTTGGACGTCAGGCAGGTGTCTAAGACTACAGCAGCCCCTGATCATGATGGCCTCCAGCATGGGAGCTGACATTATTTTTGCCTCACATATCCCTTTCAAGCTGGGAAGCTCATGCAGGTGGACGTGCTTCAGCTTTGGGAAATCAATAGCATCATTGCTTACTGTCCCCTTGGAGTTTGCTGTGTTCAAAGGGAAAACATATATGAGGCTGGTGCAGTACAGGATCTGAATGGTCTCCAAGCTTGGTAAGTTGTTGGACAAGGGAAGTACATGGATGAGCCTAGGACAGGAATCCAGATGTATATACTGCAGTTTCTTGAAGGAATCAACATTTACATGCTTGACTTCCATGCTCCAAATGCAGTGGGCTGTTTGGAGATGTGATGCCCAGAAGGTCTCTAGCCAAGAGAAAGCTACGATTTGGTCATGGTCTCTGAGTTTGAATACAGAATGTAACTTGGGGCATCTCTCAATACAGCACCACTTAATCCGACCCCAATTTGATCCAGGAATACTAGTCATCCAAGAGTCATCATGCACGTTTAGAGAGTGTACAATGTCTATGAAATTTCCCAAGATATTGTCATTCCCCTGCAATTGTTTTCTGTTTCTGATCTCTACCTTGCAGCTTCTGTTGCACTTTGACTCTAAAGGCAGAGGCGGGCAAGGACAAATCACAGGGGCAACACTAAGTGCAACAACTCTGTCAAATATATCACTGCACATATTCCCTGCAACTGTTCGATCAACATGGGCATTCCTTATTTGTTCACTACTGCACTGCTTACTTTGTCCTTCATCTTTGCAATAATTAACAAAAACAGGTGACATGCAGAAATGCACATGGTGACTTTGCATTGCAAACAACTGTAGAAACCGAAGAAGCCTAGGATCCATGATAACAACATGTGATTGGAATAATTTATCATCATCCTGGACAGGTGACAAGCTATTTTGTCGTTTGCCTTCCAGATGTACTCCAACTGTATCTACATGTAACTCATCCAATTGTGGTTTTGTAACATCTGACCACTTTATTGCACAAAGATGCAGACAACCAAACAGAAGAAGACGATTAAGTTTTTCTGCCTGCATGGCATCCAGGTCAAGTTTTTCCAATATTGTGCCGGAAAGATCCAATTCCTCAAGTTTTGGCAGTCCACTCAAGATTAGCTTTTTTAACCGGCAACATCCAGATAATGAGATTTTTGTAATATTTGCTGCCTTTGGATACTGTTCTGATGCTGCAACTAAGCTGAATTCCTCAAGTGATACCGGAAGGTTGCTATCACTGACAGAATCCAACCCAACACAACCATCAAGAGTGACAGTCTTCAGACATGTTGCCTTGGACAGGTCAGGAAAAGCTTGCATGGTAGAGTTACCTGACAAGTCTAGAATCTCCATCTTTTCCATACCTGAGAATGTGAATGTGAATGGATCCTTTTCATCTTTGGTTGCCGTATAGTCTTGATCAATCGTCTTGATTACACGAAGCTTCTGTATCTTGTTATGCTGCCGTTTCCAAATATGTCTCAAGTTGTGCAGTTTCACTCCCTTAACATTGAGCTCCCTGACATTGTTCATTTCCTCAATCATCTGTGGGGAGAAAACCCACTGTGTGTACTGTAGGTCTAGCACCCACAAACCATGAAAACAGTTCCAAGACTGAACCTCCTCTCCAGCATCAATGTTCAGATCAAGGCAGTTATCAAGCCCAAGGAATCTCAATCCGCGGCAACAGAGGAAAGGAGGTGAAGCAAATCTAAAGGTACAGAGGCTAAGTTTTAGCACTCTAAGGTTCTCTGCATGTTGAAACATGTCATTATAATTTTGTAAAAGATGTGCAGGGTTGAGCTTTGACTTAAAAAAATATTCTACTAGTTCCACCGTGTCTTTTGATTCTGTGTCAATTTGGTGTTCTGCCAAGAAAAATGATGACACTGTTTGAGCCACTGCTGAGGCAGCCAGGAACCCATAATTACTTGAAATCAGGTGACTTGTTGAAATCCAGTTGTCAGTGTTCCGCATCATGTGGTAAAGTCCAGGGTCGTCCCATTCTTGCCACATCTCTTGTTGTAGAGCATCAGCAATCTCCCATTCCTGAATGATCCCATCACACACCCAATAGTTTGAAGCATGAACTGCCCAGTCATAGTCAATGATGTCTCTGCCAACAAAATTAAGTTTCGATATATACAACCAACATTTGGCAATTGTTGTAGGGTGCAGCTTGGCTACTCCGGAACATGTGTTGGAAGCAATTTCTGCCGCCTCCTCACACAATATATCCCACCAATGGCTTTGATCCTGGAACTCCATCCCATATATTTTGTTATGGAATTCGGCAGCAAGAAAAACATCTGCCTTTTGCACCTTGTCCTGAATTTTGGTACTCAGCCGAAACCTGCCCCTGAAGGTCCACAATATTTTGTTTCCCTTATACAGCTGATATAGAGGCAGACCAAAATTAGTTACATCTTTTATTTCATTATCACTCCCATTATGAAAAACCACAAGAAATCTTCCACTCATTAGGACATCATTAACAGCTATTCCAACATCATTGATCACGTCTCTGGAGCTTTCATCTTTTCCATTGATATCATCAGCCTCATCCTGCTCATCAATAAGATCTTTTGCTTGGGTCATCTCTAGTTTCTCTGCAATTTTCCTCTGCATTTCCCTTATGCTTTTCCACCTCGAGCAATCAATGTGGATTATCTTTTCAAACCTCAATTCTGGGTCCGTGATCTGGCCCAGTGTAAGCCGTTCGGCAACAGCTCTGAGGACAGCAGATACACCCAATCCTTCCCAACCATCAAAATAGACCACATTTGATACATCTGATTTCTTTAGTTTGTCAATTATACTATCAACAGCCTCAGCAACATTCTCTGCGGTAATTACCTGCAGTGGTTAACAGTAATTAACTGAGGTTAGCTCAGCTCAGCTGGGTTGCGTACAAAGTAACACGACTGTCTAGAAGAAGAAAAATCAAATGAACACTATATTCAGAGAAAAAAAAATGAAACTATATATTTAGAGGGGGGGAAATCCTTATTTGCTACTCCACTTTGAGCTGTCACCAAACTAGGTATGCCGATGTAGGCGAGGCTGGTGATGTGGAGACTTGTTGCCGCAGCCACCGTCCCCCACCTCGTCCATGGCTGGCGCCGCCTCCCCATCCTAAGCATCATCGCCCAGATCTAGTTTGGTGTCAAGCGCATGCGAATGGCTGCTACTTGGGGCCATCAGCAACTGGATGGCAACTGTGGCGGGCTGGCGGCAAGGTCAGGAAGCCGATGGAGGCGGGAGAGGAAGAGTTGATCAGCAAATGGGAGACGAGGATGGGCGGCCAACGGCCATACTGCCCATCAGCCATGGGGATGGGAGAAATAGCAAGAAAGAAAATGAAGAGGGAGGAAGGCGATGGTTCATGGAAATTTAAGTATTTGCTACTATTCTATTTATCAATTATCCAAATGCCAATTTTAATTTTGTGCTGGTAAATTTAACGCCCCGCGCTTTGTTACGGGATATATATTAGATAGCGTAGAAATAATAAAATGATTTGGATTGAAATATCGTGAAAAAGATGATTTGGCATGTGCATATTTATTTTGGGAGTACCTATAGAACATTTGACATTTTTCTAGGAGAAAAACTTAAATGTAATTACAATCTAACTAGTGTGTAACTAGAGGTTTACTCTGATCTAACAAAAAGTATCAAAAAGTATCTTGAGTATCAGTACATCCAACGATCGGAAACGATTTGGTACCGTGAGATACCAGTACCTCGAGGTACTTTTTGTTTGAATAGCGCAAATCTCACGTAACTAAGATGTACTTACTCCGTTTCACAATGTAAGTCATTGTAGCATTCTCCACATTTATATTGATGTTAATGAATCTAGATAGATATATATGTCTAGATTCATTAACATCAATATGAATGTGGGAAATGCTAGAATGACTTACATTGTGAAACGGATGGAGTAATTTATATGTAAGAAAGTTTTGATCGAAGGCGGGACCTCGAGCCCACGAGTCGCCCACGCGCCAGTGGCTCGGGGGCAAACCCTAGCCGCCGCCGCCACCCACCCTCCTCCCCTCTCTCTGCCTCGCCGCCACCGGAGTTCACCGCCGAACAACCATGCGGGGAGCCAGGATGGCGAGCGGGGCCATACCGCGGCGACGCGTCGTCTCTGGCAAGAGGGAGGCGGGGCGGAGCGCGGAGCGCGGTGAGCCGAGCGGAGCACGGTAAGCCGAGCGGAGGGCGGCGCGCTCGATGGCGAGGGAGGCCGGGGATCCGGCACCGCGGTGGCTAGATCCGGTGCTCCCGCGGCCGGATCTAGCTGCACGGCGCAGGGCGACGGCTCCATCATGGGCACGGAAAGCTACGGCTGAAGGCCGCCAGCGGCGGCGGCAGCGGCACGAGGGCCGCGTGCCGGCGAGGGGAGGACTGTCGCCCGCTTGGCAGCATGCTCGTGCCTCTCTCCGGCCGGCCTGGTGGTGTGCGCGGGGAGGAGCTGTGGGGTGGTGGACTGGGCTAGCTGGTGGCTGAGAAGATGATGTGGTGGTTCAGCGACGGTTGTTGTGTGAGGTGGTGGTGGCAATGGATGGAAATCGCTGGCGAAAGCCTTGCTTAGCACTTGGCTGGCATGACGACGGCGATGCCCTTTGGCACCGTTTCCTTTCTTGGAGGCGTAGTTATGGCATTTTTCTTCATCGCTATCAATCTCCAGGTGAAAACTATGTTCCGGTTTCCGGACGGACGGTGGCGGCGTTTCATGTCGTATCCTTCATTGGGGCATCGTCTTGGAGAACCTTACCCTTGCTTCGATTACTGTTAGCGAACTCCTGTGTCAGCTCGAAGCACTAGATGCCTAGGTTTTGGCGAGGCCTTCTCCTTCCTGGCTCCATTCTTGTATTGGTGGCATCCAGCTTCTTCATTTGTCTCTGTCAGGTGGAGTCGAAGCTGCAACGTCATTGGGGTGCGACGTTGCTTGGCAACGATAACATTTGCAGTTTCTCTCTAGGGATGTTGGTGTTGCCAGTGCAGGTTTTGGTGCCTCAGGGGCTTTGGCTGATGTCTAAAGTATGAGCTTGGTGTTGTTTTGCTCGTTTTGGCGGTGCCTCCAATGATGTTATGATCGCCGTGGAGTCGGAGCTCTGGGTCGCTGGGCGGCAAAGGTTGGCAACGATGACACGTGCCTTGTGATGTCAAAGTTGTATGCCGCTTCTTCAGCTTTTCGACATCGATGTTCGCCTTTGGATTCTGCCGTCGTAGTTTGGTTAGAGTTGTGTGGTGCTCAGTGTGTTGTGTTGTTTGTACCGGTCGTGGTTGAGGGGCTTGGCGAGTCTACTTGCCGAGAGGTTATTTTTTCTTTTTCTGTAACCCGTCTAGTTTTTTACTTCTGCTTAATTGAAATATAATTTGCAGTTCCCTGCCGGTTTAGTTTAAAAAAAAATTATATGTAACTTGATCATTTCCTTTTTCAAAAAACACAGCATCCCAAGTGGCTAGTGCCGTTGACTTGCAAGCAGCAAGTCTTGAGTTCGATTACCAACTTGCGCGTGGAAAATTTGTAAGTTTTGAGGAAATAAATCTTAAAACAAATTGTACATATATTTAGTATATGCTTAAATGTTGAGCTTTGTGTGCTTTAGCCAAAGCTCAAACGATGAGAACCTTAGCCACGTACTCCTTTCGTTTTTTAATATATGATGCCGTTGACTTTTAGATATTCATCTTATCCAAAAACTTTGTGCCAACATTAAAAATATAAGTCATGCTTGAATAACCTTAATCATAAATCATCATAAAAAATAAATAATGATTATAAAGACGAATAGTCAAACATATTAAAAAAGTTATTTGTATTATATATTAAAAAATGAAGGTAATACTACTTAAAAACTTATCAGTGTTGGACAAAAATAGCAACACACATAGAAGAGAGAACAGCAGGACGTGCTGCGTCAGGTGGCATCGCGTCCAGGTGAGCCCCGTCATACATGAATCGATAAATCATCTTGTGCATAAATCATATTGAAAACAATATTTTTGCCAATAAATACCTCTCGGAGCATAATGAATTGCCCTCAAGACCAGCAAATCAGGGCAAGTGGAACCCAGATCTCACCAATCAGCATCACACCCTACAAAAAGACATGCATTCAGTGTTGGTTTCTTCGAAAAATTTAGATCGGTTCTCCAAACAGAAAAAAAGATTGAAATTTTACTAGTTAGAGAGAAGGGACAGAAGAATCACTTCTCATTTGGAGCTGGGAGAGAAAGGGAGAGAGACCAATTAAGAAATGATAGTGAAATTGAAGCAATAAGCAAAGTGCGTGTCTGAGGATATCAGGCAGAAGATAGATGGAGCTTAGCACCAGTGATCGATGCAACTGGTATGAATATATTGTCCCTAGTTTGAGTTTCGCTCCTTTTAACAAAGCTTCCAATGCGTATCACTTTTGAACAAAGCAAAAGGCAAAGCTCTAGCATCACTTGTCTGGGTAGTTTATACCTTACTTCCTCCGTTTCACAATATAAGTCATTCTAGCATTTCCCACATTTATATTGATGTTAATAAATCTAGACATATATCTATCTAGGTTCATTAATATCAATATAAATATGGAAAATGCTAGAATGACTTACATTGTGAAACGGAGGGAGTACTTATGAGCAACAGGAACAAATTGTGTATTGCCATATACGGAACACTAACACACCTTTAAGAAAGCGAATTACGTGATGTACTCCCTCCGTTTCAAAATGTTTGACACTGTTGACTTTTTAGCACATGTTTGACCATTCGTCTTATTAAAAAAACACGTACTAAAAAGTCAACGGTGTCAAACATTTTGAAACGGAGGGAGTATAAAGTTTTGAGATATCATTGAACACCTCCAAAAAAATTCTTACAGTGATGCATGCTGCGCCGATGAAGAAACAAATCACAATGGTAGCTGTAGATGTTACTTTCTCCGTTTCACAATGTAAGTCATTCTAGCATTTCCCACATTCATATTGATGTTAATGAATCTTACATCAATATGAAGGTGGGAAATACTAGAATGACTTACATTGTGAAATGGATGGAGTAATTATTCTCTCTATCTTTATTCTCTTTTCGCTTTACCAAAAGAGAATTGGCAACATGATGACAGAGGCTCGAGAGAATGAAGACAGAGTTAGGGTGAATTCTTTTGTGTTTGTGTGTGCGCGCGTTTTTGAAATCGAATGCTTTTCCCTGTTCATTGATCTAAAATTTGCAATATGCTGATGATAATCGTTCGGGATCGGATGCCTCTTCCGAATGTACTTTTTTCCATCCAACATCGAATGTACTAATTCTTATAATAAACGACTACAATCATGTTAGTTGCAGTGACCTAAGTAGCACTCTAAAGTCCTGAGTTTAAATCTTCATATGAGCGAATTTCATATTGGATTGTTTGAGGGGCTAAATTCTCAATTTAAAAGGTTGCATATTTTATTTGGGCATCATTTGATTTTGGCATACAGATGGCTTTGCCCAGTAGTTTAAATTTTATAAATAACAAAAAGGGTCTAGAAATACAAATACAAATTACATGGGAAAAAAAGAAAAACTCAAAGCTTTATGAAGATTATAACCTATCTAAAACTCTCTCTTTTAGATCATTATATTCATCCTCCAAGATACAAGAGAATCTCATTCTTGAAACTAGCTAACCATCTGTCGACATTAGGTGCTAGGTGCTCAAAAAAAATTAAGCATTCCGCTGCTTCCATATATGTCAGCATGAAGATTATTACTATCTTCAAGAAATCTTTCATTCAAAAGCACAATCTTGCAAAAACTTTCATCTTGGTAGAAAGACAATGACGTCTTCCAGGAAATTCTAAACTTCCTCCAGTAGGGCTTACTAAAAGTGCAATCAAATACATTCTTGTTTCCCCTATCACCACTCACTCACTCAGGCAAAATATGCACATGATAAATCCGTGTCCTGTGGAGCACAATGTTGATCATGTCATTGAACAACAGCCAAAGAAACACTTTTATCTTTATGACACATTTTGATTTCCATTTGCATGATAACGGCCTTGCATGGCTGCTTAAAAAAAACAGGCTATACATTCCCGAATTTTTTTAAAATAGTAATTAATAACCTGAAAATTAAATTAATAGTAAATGAAAGGTTTAATTTATAAAAATAAGAAGGACGCTATGTGCAACAGCGTCCAGGCATGGACGTTATTCCCGAGAACGTCCAGATCAGGACGCTGTTTGTAACGGCGTCCACCGTTGGAGCCGAACCAACCTACGGTAGGGAAGCCTCCACTCGCGATTCTTTGTCGGGTCGTCGTCCTCAACGCTGCTCGCCAAGGAAGGCCTCCGCTGCGTCTCGCTCGGTTAGCATAAGCGCCCTAGCCCTAGCCGTCAGGTTAATAGATCATATCCGATCCTGCTGTCCGATATGATTCGACCTATGCATCCTAATTTTTTAGCGCACTTCTTCAAATTAAATGGCCAGCTCGATCCTGCAAATGGCTTCTCTTTTTTTTTCCCTAACGAATCGCAGATGGCTACTCTTGATTCGATACATGCGTGCCTGCAACTAGCTGCTTCGTTTATTTATCCAGAACGTCCTACTGATTGCTCCGTAAAAGCTAGTAGACCTGGTTAATAATGTACTCAATGTTAGAGCAAACAGATCGATCAAGGATGCAAGTAACGCTAATGCATGCTGCAGTGCTGCACATAAATGGAGAATTGGTAACCCAAAAGTGATGGAATACAGAGATTAATAACTGATTATATATGTATGCCCACATGCAAAACCTAAACGAAAATCAACTAATATCCAGTCCAGAGCATATATACATCGTTTTCGAAGATCAGATAAGCAGCCGGCGCTGGGTTCATGTGGCGGCAAATCGATCCTCAGCAGACGTCGCGAGCAAATTAACGGGGGCTTCTGGATCAGGGCAGAGTTTAACGAATGGCAACGTGCGACAGGAAGTTTTGGGCGCTGATATATGCTGACGGTGCTAGGAGTGACTAGTGAGCGCAGGCTCCCTGGCGAGACGCGTTGGGGGATAACGAGGCTGGTTTGGCTGCACCAGGAGACGGACGCAGTTGCGAACAGCGTCCCCTTCCGGACGTTCTCAGGAACAGCATCCACGTCTGGACGCTCTGGTAGATAGCATCCTTCTTATTTTTATAAATCCAGCCAGCAATTTACTATAATTATTTAATTTATAGGATATTAATTACTATATATAAAAAAAATCGGATACATTCTCTGTGATGAATATGATGGCCTATTCCATAAAAATCTTCAAGTTGTGTGGATGGACTGTATATGTGCTTCTAGTTGAATGTATCATCATATGCTTACTATGACTATGACAGTGGTAAGTGACATGTCTGCTTTTATCTATCAAACATTATGGCTACAGAATCATCCTTGTATGTAAAAAAGAGTAGAGCTAGCCTTGCATGCTTAACCATTTTAACGGAACCATTCCACATGTCTTTCTATAACAAAAGGGTTTGCCCATTCCCTTCGAATTATGAAGCATAGTGAGATTTCTGTAAATAAATTTGATAGACCCCTTATTATATACTTATCATTACCCTCGATTATTGTTTGGCAAAATTTGCTATATGATATCTAAAATTTGTGTAATTGGTTGGAGAACACTGAAGGCACTATTTTATAATTTTTGGAGAAAAAGTGGACAAACATTTTGAGTTTAAAGTTTTCAATTTCCAAATGAAGGTTTTGAAATTTGAGTTGAATGTTTTTGGAGTTCAAATTAAAAGTGTTGAAATTTGGTTGTTTTTTCAATTTTGAGTTTAAAGTTTGAAATTTTTCACTAAAAAATTCCCAATTTCCTTTTCAGATTTGAGTTTGATACACTCCGTAAAAAATAATGTGCGTCATTGAAAAAAGAAAATCATGTCGCAATTCACATTGCCTATACTGTCCTCACCAAGATCGAGTCGGTGTTTGTACCGCGTTCCTGTTCCTCGTAGTTCTATGCATAACAGTGCAAGCCATTTTCTCCTGTAAAATCAAAGTGTAAAATCAAAGTGTGTTTGATTGTTATTCTGTGATGAACAATTGGCATATGAGATTATTGATTTTGATATTTGGAGATCATTGACGAAGTGGTTTTGGAGATGATTGATTTGCAGGTGATGAACAGAGACTGTTGCTGACAGGTAGTGACCGGTCAGGCCGGGTTGTTGTAGTCAGTCAGACCAGAGGTATGTGTGCGGTTAGACCAGCTAGCTCGTGGCTTGACCGGCCGGCTCTGTACCGGTTTCGGTTTAGGGTTGATTCTTTGGATATCCATGGACAATCAATGTTTATTCTAGATGGATACTATGCATATGTAATACTGTTGTTCGCTAACAATGAGTCAAATTGGTGAGAACTTGTGCTCGGATATTGTTTCTTGGTTGATGCGTTTGTAGGTGGTCTTGATGCCTCGGGAGAGTGTTGCCGGTGATGGATCGGGAGTCAACTTGGGATAAGATGACGTCCGGACGATCAGAATATCACGTGGGATATTTAAGCTAAAGATCAATACACGTGGTTGTGTGTATGGGATACATAGCCGAATTTAGAGGGAGTCCAAATTTGGTTCAATTGGAGTTTGTAAAGTTTGTTTCTTGTACGGAAAGGTTTCTTAGGGGATTATGACTTCTTGTACAAGGTTGGTCTGTGGCTTTAGGCTGCTTACGTTGGGTATAAATGGAGAAGGAGGGTGTGTCATTCTGGTATCATTTTTGATAGAGTTGCGTTGAGATAAGATAGGCATATTTGTAATCTCTATACATCCAAAACTTAAATGAAGAGCTTGTCTTTTCGTTTGGCAATATTTGATTCAACTCCTGTTCGAGAGAGTTTATAGTAGCTATAGCTTCTCTTAGAAACTCCAGCTGTCAGACATTCCCCAAAGAGTTATTTTTAACCAGATTCTGATAATTTGTTGATGTAGAATCCATATAATGAACTAGAAGCCAAAAGATGAGAAACCCAACTTTCTAGATCTTACCAACAGCTTATCAGAATCTTAAGTTCCCAAAAACATGATTTAAATTGTTGACTCTATCCAAACATTCATCTTAATACTTCTGGGTTATGCAGACTTTTGGATAAAACGAGTAACATAGTTAATGGACGAAAATTAAACCATGGCAATAGTTAAGGGACAGAAATAGACTTTGTTTAAAATAAAGAAAAGAGAAGAGCTCATAATTGGTCGGTGCTGAGTCTTTTGACGCAGCTTTAGAATCTATCGAGCTTTGTTCTACTTTTCTTTTTCTAGCAAGACAAATCATTAAATAAAATGAAAACGTACTACTGTACAAAATCACAGTAAAAACACAACAAACACAAAAGAAAACGAAATAAGAAAATACTTTCCCTATTATTATATACATCCTGAGTTTAACTCGGTAAGACGGTAAAGTCTCAGGTGAGTACGCCAAGACTGTAAAGAGCCTTTCCTTCCCACGCATAGTAGTAGCCATAGTCGATACAGCAAAAGATTAGCATGAGCCTCACTTCAGGAGACATATACAGATTAAAAATTGGGCAAGGAAGCAAATAATTCAGAAGTTAATAAGAACAAATAAATGTAAAGCGAGAGGTATTCAGGTTTTTTTGCCAAAATGAATACGGCGAATAGCTTCCTGAGAACGTCGAAACTTCTGATTCACATCTATCATCTGACTCGTCTCAGCTGGCATACTTCATTGAAGGGCCTAGCTAACAAACTAAACTGCCTTCTCAGCGACTCAACAGATCAGAGACATAAGAAAGGATTAAACGACACGCTTTGCCAACTGACAGCTCAAACAAATGTACAGCTGATACCCATCAGTAAACTTGTACATGGCCAAAAAACAGATTTACAGCGGCGATACCTAACACTCATCTAATTACCTTTTAAGTACCCGGAGAGATCTATACAGGCCACAGTAAAAAAGAAGAGAACACATCCAGTCTCCACCAGGACACCCCTATTGGCTATTACAGTGTATCTCAAAACAAAAATCTCCACATTTGTCAATTCACCAGATTTGCTTATTGATGCCAATGCTTAAAAAGGATTAGCGTCAACATCTGTACAGCTTAGTGACTGCTGACATTGGCTAGTCTTGGACCCCATCCGCACTCGGTTTTCTGAAAATCAAGGAGAAACGTTAGAAGTTGGAAAGATTTCGGTCCCGATTGCATGTCACGATAAACAAACTTATCCGCTCACCTCCTGTAATGATTAACTTCTCCACACGCGCAACTATATGCTTCCCGAAAGTGTAGTTCTTCAGTTCGTTCAAATGCATCTTGATGCTTGAGAGGATCACAACTAGGAATTTGTCATCACATGTCTGAAGGATTCTCTGTACAACATAATTGCCAAACTGATCCTTCATCAGTCCCTGCATAGATTGGTCAAAATGTGTTATTACAATCACTGAAAAATCATTGTGCATCAAGACATTGTCATACAGTACTAGTACAAATACAGTGAACATTATATTAAAACCCAGTGCCATACTGCCATGTGTTCTGTATGAACAATAAATCCTAAAGGCTCTTGTGCACTTACTTGACATACAAAATGAAACTAAACACAATAAATACAGCATTGATGTCCGTGTGGAAAACATAGGGTTGTGGAATCATTTGATAGAAAATATGCTTTCAGTTAACAGCTCAAGGAAGTTGCTTGTTGGACAAACCTGGAATGTTTGGCCAGAGGATACAATCTCTCTTATAAGGCCTTCACGTTCATCAGGAGTTCCAAAAGATAGACACTTTTCCACAACATTAGAAGCATACTTCTGCTGGCTCAAGTTCACCACTTGCCCAGAAAGCTTTTGAATAATGGATGACCGCTCCTCTGGCCTACCATGTTCTAAGACGTGCTGAAAATTGTTTGAAAAGGTTCATCAGTAACCATCAATTAGAACCGTTAAATGCTCATTGAAGGAAATGAAAAAAAATAATACTACATTCCAAACTGGGCCTAAAAGATATAACATTCTTTTTACCATGCTGCAATGTATCAACTTATTTAAAATAATAACAAGAAACATTTACAAGTTAATTGAGCCCAGGAACATCATAAGCTGGTGCTGTTTTATATATTTTAATTCCCAGTAGGTAAAATGATAATCCGCTGGTGTCAAAGTACTCAGTTAATCAGTTAATGATTGTTTCCAGAGTATGAAGAATATATCGTATTTCAGGAGGTTACTGTTGTATTTATATGTAACCATTTCAAATGGAGATAAAAATAGCCCTAATACATAGAAGAAATGTGGTAATCCTAGTAACCGCTGGCAACCAGCCACATCCAACAAAAGTTTGAACCCTGGCTCCACACACATAATTTATTTTACTAATTTTATCCACAATATCTGTAAACTACTAGGTTTTTTAATGATCAAGGCAGTGTAACTATTTTTATACAGGGTTAAGTCAAAAGTTTGACAATTGCAGCAAGTGAATAAATAAATGGAATATGTTAACCTACTTGAACAACATAGTTTCCAAATTTATCTTCTGTCAAATCAAAAGCACGTTCGACAATTTCATCCATCACAGCACTTTGAGTTGCTGGATTATGGCAATGCTCCAAAACTCTCTGCAAAGATAAGGTTAGAAACTACCATTTAAAGTTACAGAATTTAATGCTTAGGAAACAGAAGGTTGCAATTTGTACCTGAATAACTCTGCAGCCATATTGGTGAGTGCAAAGCGGATAAATTTTCTGAAGTATATCCTCAATTACAAATGGAATGTGATCTTCTGGAACACACTCTATGCACTTCTGGATTACGTGGTTACCATTCTGATCAGAAATACATCTGAGAACAGAATTCTTAAGCTCACCAACAATAGATATCTTTCTCTCCAAGTCAACCACATCAATGACCTGTGGCAAATGCATGGATAAAATTCCAATCAAGCACCTCTAAAGTGAAATGACTCGTGCCTCATCAATGTCTCACTCATAATGCTGACAGAGTGACACCAATTTTAGTTAAGGTGGCATTCCATGCATGGACTTTTGGTGAAGACATAACGCTCATAACGCAAACAAAGAACAAAGCATGTTCATTTTTTTTAATAAACAGAGATTCATTATCTCTTGTCAGCCACCATGAAAAAATGATTTGCCACATAACAATTAGAAAAATCATAAATGGTAAATCATTTGTCATCAATTGTAGCTTTTACACATTAGCTCAATGCTAGTAGTGAGATAAGATTGAGTGTTAAAAGCAGCGGATGATTTAATCTTGGTTCAGGCTTCCACTCAAATTATTTTTGTGTACATTAAAATTCTTTTTTGTACATTACTAACAGATTTACTTTAGGAGACTACACTGCTGTCCACAATAAACTTGTAGGAAATTGATTATAAACTTGTAGAGTTTGCATGGGTTACAGATTTACATGAACCCCAAGAAAAAAAAAGATAACTTACCTTCTGAACAACTCTGCAACCATACATCTGAAAGCTGAGTTGCAAAAAGTGACCTCTGAGCTGATCTGCTAACTGGCTTAACTGGCTTTCTGTAGCAAACTCAAAAAACTGCAAATGTACAATTCTGAATGTTAGGTTTCAAAATATAAATATGAGTAATCAAATTAGCAGGACAGATAGGCGTACCTTCTGAATCACATAATTGCCAAATACATCAGTTGTCAGAGCAATAGCATTGGTCAGTATCTCTGGAAAGATTTTTTCCCTGTCATCAGCTGAGGCAACCTCTAGTTTTTGTTGAATAAAACGACTTCCAAATTGATCCATACTGCATTAAGATAAGAAGTAGATAATGTGACAAAGCATTAAAGTTGAAAATCTACAACAGGAGAATGGAAGAGAAATGTACCTAACTTCCATAACATGGCCCACTACATTAACAAGCTCCAAGGGACAAGCACCACTTCTATTTGCAAGATCCAAAGAAGACAGATCCAGGCAGTTTGCTACAGGATTATCTTGGTAGATTTGTGATCCCATATTTCTACCAGGTGTCCTCCTACTAGAGGATAACATCCGCGATTGCTGATCACCAAGATATGGAATGCCCCTCAAATGTGAATAAGCATGGGACCCTGATCTTTGCATTCTTGAATATGGAAAACGAGGTCCATCATGATATAGTATGTTGTCATTATATGAGGGACCAGATTTTGACTGAAAGACATTATCTTCCTGCAAACAACGCTGTGCAATAAGTTCTTCAAGGAAATGGTTCCTACTCCTGATTAAGTCCAAGTCTGTGATGTTGCGTCTGTTTCTCAAGGGGTTGATTATATTTACCATATCTGCATTGCTATGGTAATTATTCTCGTCAAGATTGCTTAGCTGCATCAAAGCTAGTTGATCAGCAAGAGATAGGCGATCCACATTCTTCATGTGATGGTTATTATTCCTTGAAACATAGGGACTATCCATAATACTGTTCTGCCTGCGTAGAAGACCATCTCCATATGAAGGTAGTGAATGAACATCCAAGTGCTCACAACCAAGCGTACACAAAGCATTGCCAGATAAAGGAGAACGGCAGTCATTGGCAATCTTAGAGGAAAAATGCCTGTCGTGATTACGCATTTCCATTTCATCAAGCAGGTCTTTGGCAAGGCCCCTTTCATCATATTCTAAATGATTAGACAAGTTCACCCTAGATAAAGCATTTGAAAGATCAGAGTCAGAGAGATAGGTGGACTGAAGGTCCCTTCTAGCAAAAGCATTCATCTTTCCCATGTTTGGCATGAAGCGATTCTCGGCATGCCTATGAAAGTCAGCATCATCTGTTTTGGTCTGTATCCATGGGGAACCAACATTAACTGCAGAGTGATCCAGCATAGCGCCAACACTATGAACCCGGGTTGGTCCAAATTGCTGTCCATTAAACTCTCTCGTACCATTAAGGTGGAGGCCTGGTGCTCCATTAGATAATGACTCAGAATTTCCAAAATGATCCTACAACAAACGAAATAAATTCAAATTCAAATAACCAATGCATAAACATCAAACAAAACGTAAGTCTGGAATTGGTGTTGTTGTATTGGACTAAATAGCTCATCAGCCAATCCTTTAGCTCCTCTGAGCCATGCACATTAATTAATATCCAACCGAAATGAGAGTCAATCTCATACATGCACAGGGCAGCAGTTAATTCTTTGACAGCGAAGAATTTATGGCGGTATACGCGGAGTCAAAATGGAACCCAAAACTAAAATACCTGGGCAGAAGGGCTGCGATCTATGTATCTGGAAAACACAGGAGCAAACACCCAAGAACATGGATGGATGTTTTTATAAAAAAAAAAACTGAAAACAAATGCACATCAACAATAAATTGCAAATCAAATATACAAAAACAAACAAGCAGATTATTTTACAAACTTTAGTTCGCTCACTATGGGCCAAACGGCAATCCTCAAACTCTCCTCCCCATCCCTGTGAAATTCCCCAATCCAGCAACCACCACCATCTCCTTTTGATCTCATTGAAACAGAGAAGAGACCAGATGGACGGTGACTCTGTGAATCACTGGATCTTAAGCAGTGGAAGCAACATGAGTGGGAGATACATATTGTGTGAGATCGCATGGGTCCTGCAAATCACACACAGGTTCACACTTCACACACGAAGTAACCCACATGAAGTCAGATAGAACATTTCTTATCTTCCGTTAGAAATTTAGGAACCGCAAAAAAATATCCAGAGGAACTGTTGACAGAACTTTCTACAGGAAATAATGGACAGAAACTATCACTAGAAACTTAAGAAATTGTTCAGAGAATCTTTCCATAACAAAACATTGCATAGCAAACTTTCCATCAAAAGATCATTCTACAGCAGATCTTAAAACTTTCTTAACAAAACTTAGAAACTATCTTCAAGACAACTTTCTACGGAATACTACTTTCTGTTGAAAAAGCTTGTTAGTACCAAGTACAAACTTTTATTCAAAATCTAAATCTATTCGAATTAACTATCATGAAGTGATGATTTTTTTAAAAAAAAAAAGTATTGGCCAATGTGGCACGCTGCCCCTCAAACTCCAACAGTCAACAGAGCGGCCACCCAGGAACAAAAATTGAAAACATGTGTGCAGGAAAAACACATTAAACATTCAATGGACACAAGTGTTCCACGATTAGGAATTATGCATGACTGGATTGAGGAGATTACATAGCAAGGAGCAACTAGGTTCATATTCTCTCTTGATTTTGGGCATTTCATCTAAACAAGTATAAGTATCTATGGGGAAAAATAAACACCCAAACAAATAGGTCCAAAATATACTTAGGCATATACGAGAATGGGAACTGAAAAGGCTCAAAAGCAATTTATGTACAAGCTATATAATAAATGTTTACAGCACATACAGCCTGGTAAGATAATTACATGATATTTACGACATATAAGAACAGAAATAGCAAATTCTAATGGCAGGAAAATAAAGCCTATATATAATTAACAGAGGAACTAAAGAGCCCAATGGTTCAACTAAGTTGAAGTTGTCTCCATGAGTTAATCGAAGCAATCCACTGAACATCAACATGATGAAAGCACAAAGATAACACAATTTTCATGTGAGTTCTAGAAAGATAGCTAACAAGCATAATAAGCATTTAGTAGTTCTTTAAGGACGCCATATGCACTAGTATGGCATGGGAACCCATATTTTGCGGAGGAAAAAAGTGAATCTTTTGGCCGAAAGACATTGGTTTTACAACTTTTAACAATTAGTAGCAAACTTGAACGTACATAGGCAGCACAACCGAGAGAACCAACATAGATAAATCAATAGACTAAAGCCACACAGGATAAATTGAAATAAAAACGATATGACAAGAACACCACCAAACACTTCATCCAAGCATCCAAGGTACAGAACTTAAAATCCAAAAGAACTAACAAAGAAAAATTTACCTACATAGCTACACCTGAAAAATTGCAACATGAACCCACGCGAGCAAAAGAAAAAAACTTCTTTTCATAATTTCGCTGCGCATGATTATTACTGGAACGATTCAGCCCATCAGACTGATGAAACCCCTAACAAACCCAAACCAAATAAGCCATGCCAACAAAGCTCATCCAAGAATCGAAGAAAAGAGAGATCGATAAAAATCGGAACAACCCAACCCCACAACTTGCATCTGTCAGGACACACAATCAGTAAAACAAATTCAAGAAAAAGAAATCCACGCTTCGTGCACATACCACGCACCGCCATCCAATCTACACCACGCGCACAACTCAAAAAAAAAGAAAAGAAAGGCAGGAAGCCAAGAACCGCTCACCTGCGCGGCGGCGCCGCGCCGCCGGCCGACCTCGTCGAGCCTCGCGCCGAACCCATCCATCCCGGAGAAGAACGACCCGCCGCCGCCGCCTCCGCCGCCCCCGTAAACCCCCTCCACCTCCTGCTGCGCCACCGCCGAAGCCGCCGCCGCCGCGGCGCCCTCCATGGTCGGCGGCGCGCTGCCGCTCCTCATCGGGTCCCACCCCCACCCCGCATCCCCCTCCCTCTTCTCCTCCTCCCCTCCGCCGCCGCCGCCATCGCCGAAGGGAGCCATCCCCTCTCTCTCCCCCACAACGCGCGCGCAAGCGAAACGAAAACTCGCGTGTGGTTTTGAACCCAAAACCCCACCCCCGCGGTCGCGCCGAAATGGGTGGGTGCGGTTTTTGGGGTGGTGGCGGCGCCGAGTTAGGGTTAGGGTTTTGGTTGGGTTTTAGGGCGGAGAGGGTGGGGGCGCGCGGGCGGGAGAGGAGAGGAGGGGAGGGAATGGAAATTGGGGCCCAAAATCTGGTTTTTTTGGGGTGGTTTATATAGAGAGAGGATTTCAGGTTGTGGGTTTGTTTCCTTCAGCTTAAACCTGGAGATAAATAAAGAAAGAAAACCCTTTTCTTTCTGATAATTCCGTGCAGTTTTTTTTTTTGGTATAGGAGTTACATGATGGGACTGGGTAGATTCATAGACACTGGATGTGGGGCCAGGGTGGTCGTGTTTTTTTTCCCGGTCAGTGCTTGGGCCCAACTGTCAGTGATGTTGTTTAAGGTGGGTTTGTTCGAGTGGATTTAAATTAATAAAAAAATATGATTTCTCTTTTTCTAATATAATATAATACAAAGAAGGACGCTGATATACATACACTCCCTCCGGTTCTATTACTCTTTACGTTTTAGACAATGTAACAGTCTCAAAATATATCTTTGACTATATTTTTTATTATAATACATATAATAAATAAATATGAATACATTGTTATAGTTACTTATAAGATAAATCTATATATATTGTTCTTGAGTCTTTAAACTAATTATTTTTAAATTCATTGCTAGTCAAAGTTATAAAAGTTTGACCTAACGTTATCCAAAACATAAAAAATTATGTAACCGGAGGAAGCAAATGCTATTGTCGAAAAATAAACACTTATATGTAGAATAGATTAAAACACCAAAGTAGTGTATTGATTTCTTGATCTCTTCCCTGCATCATACTACTAGGTTATATTTATATTTATAGGTTTATATAGCTCTAACTACAAATCCAAGTATATAGGTTTTTACATGCTTATCTTGTAGATATGGACATGTATAGGGCTGGTTGTGTCTTTCCACTTCATATTCAGCTTCCAAGGTTATCCTAGGCCGAACCCAGGTCGTTAGGGAGCTGGCTTTTTTGGAAGGTCACTTTTCAGGGCAGGCCTTCGGCATCATGGCCCCGACGGCCTCTTCCTGTCCCAGCGACAGTACGCCATCGATCTTCTGCAGCGAGCCGGCATGTTTGAATGCCACCCAACTGCCAACCCGGTTGATGCTCGCGCCAAGCTCTCCGCCTAGGAGGGTGCCCCCGTCGCCGATCCTACTGAGTACAGGAGCCTCGCCGGTGCGCTCCAGTATCTCACTCTCACCCGTCCTGAGATCGCCTATGTCGTTCAACAGGTCTCTTCATGCATGACCCTCGCGAGCCTCACCTCGCCTTGGTTAAACGCATCCTGCGCTACATCAAGGGCTCACTCTCTGCCGGCCTCCACATCGGCACCGTCCGGTCGGTTCTCTGACTGACTACTCCGACGCCGACTGGGCCAGCTGCCCCGACTCTCGTCGCTCCACCTCCGGCTACTACATCTTCCTCGGCGATAACCTGGTGTCTTAGTCCTCCAAGCGACAGACGACGGTCTCATGCTCCAGTGCCGAAGCGAAGTATCGTGCCGTTGCTCACGCGGTTGCCGAGTAATGTTGGCTCCACCAGCTACTCCAGGAGTTGCATGCTCCCATCTCCACTGCGACTGTTGTCTTCTGCGACAATGTCAGTGCTGTCTACATGACCACCAACCCGGTTCACCATTGCCGCACCAAGCACATTGAGATCGACATCCTTTTTGTTCGGGAAAAGGTGGCTCTGGGATAGGTCCGTGTGCTCCATGTTCCGTCTACACACCAGTTCGCCGATATCATGACCAAAGGCTTGCCAGTGCAGTTATTTACAGATTTTCGGTCCAGCCTTTGCATCCGTGAGCCTCTCGCTGCGACTGCGGGTGGGTATTAGGAATACTTTGCCATATATGTACAGATTGTATTGTATTGTTTCTTTCCTTGTATTCTCCTCTAATTGAGGATCTTGTACATGTGCTTCCTATATCAATACATGGTCACCCCTCCCATTGGGTGTGAGGTGTTCTCCCCATTCCATTCTACACATACAAGGACACGAAGCAAATGTAGGCAAAAGGGTAAAGATGATTTCCAAATGAGAAACAGTGTCTACGGAAAGCAAAGTTTAATCCCAACGCGAGACTTTAGGCACTAGCCAGCCCGCTGCTCCTAGATGTCGCTCTACTGTGTACTCCTAGATGTCACTCTGCTCCTAGATGTCGCTAGAGTAGTAATTAATTGCATAGACACGGTCTCTAGGTTGTTAATTACCAGTGATTGCTGCGTATCCCACAGTTCGTTAGAGGCTGGTGTAGAGGTGGTGATAGCCCCCAAGATCACCGTAGTCCTCCCTGTCCGGGTACGAAGTAGAGCGTGTTCTGGTAGCAGCAAGCAAGCCAGTGCCTGAAGTATTGAGATAGGATTAAATTTAAGCTTTCTGTAGACACTGTCCTCACTTAGGAAATTCTCTCTACCCTTTGCCCATCTTTGCCTTGTGTCATTGGATGAACTTGAAAAGGAACTAGACACACATGTTTCCTGTGGAAAATCGATGCCTTGGAATAGTCCCGGGTGAAGTGCTACATCGTAGCACCCTGCGCCTGTGGATTTTATTTATGACCATAAGAAATACCAACACTTACCAGTATTGACTCTTGCTTATTGATTATTTTGCTGCTTAGGTTGAGTGATGCGGGAATCATGGATCTTTAGGATAGTTCTTACTAGGTGTCTATCCCTAGTCGGTTTGCCTGTGTGGTAAGGGCAGGCAGGTTTTCCGCTGAACTTCTATTGACCGGTCAACTGCATATAGATGATTTAGACCAATGTTTCTAGCTATTCTTAAGTTACTTTAATTCGTGCCTTCATGTTTCTGATATCTTGGCTAAGATAACAGTGTGAAGCTAGCAACCTCCTGAGACTAGCCGATCACAAGTTAGAGTTTTGAGCAATTGAGATGGTCGTGAAATTTAGCGATATGAGTCAAGTCCCCTGATGTAATACATTTGGTCGTCACCTTCGAGTAGTTTGATGGGCATATTTTAAGTTGAAGTTGACTGTCGGGCTATTCCATCGAAGATCTCCTGTGCTCACTACTCGGTGCTTTGGGTTTTATGTTGTGTTTGGTGTTTCGCATGCTAGATCAACGATGAGGTTGGATGGTTACTACTATTATTATTTAGGTTTAATTTAATATCCCATCCAACTAAATATTTCATGTTGTCATACTTAGTAGCCTACTCAATATCTAGCCCAGGTGTCCTGACAAGAGTTGAATCCATGGAAGCCTAATGGCGATGGTATTTTTTAGATAAATTAACTTGTGATGGCATTTTGTGGGACTAACATTCGTCGATGGCAAAACATGGAATAAGGTTAATGGCAACACTTAGAATATCTCATGTAACATTGCCCCCTGTAAAGAAGTTACTTGACACTCGACTGGAGAATGACACACACGAAATGGACAGTCATGGATACCAAAAAATGATGCATGTCAAAATTGAATATGCCAACCTTACCATGACTAACAAAACTTACACAAAGAAAACCAAGGTGGGTTCACCCTAATGTCCTCCCTTTTGCAAAGCACCTCAGACTAATACACCTTTGAGATTACATACTATATAAATATATATATAACTTTACATGAAACTTGCAGAAAACATTTCTTCTAGTAGAAACAATGATGCTAGAAAAGCATGCATTCACTTGTAGTTTTGGATTATCTTAGATAAAGATGAGTATGTGCCCACACCAGCACAGCAGAGCCCAACAACAATGATGAATACACATAGCAGTACCTGCAAGAGATGGTATTCATGTTTATTAAATGGCATATTTCCAAAAAAAATGAGCTTGAATATTGAAATTATGGGATTTTGGTTCTTGCATATACAAAAAGAATGCTAATTAGTTCCCACTGAAAAATCCAGATTGAATTGGTGAATAGCGACGCGTAATTAATGAATATCCTTGAACTCTTTGAACTAGACAGATCAGTCTAAATTATAAGATCCATTTAATCTTCAGATTGTTCCATTACCTGGATTACTATATACATATATGTATTCATCTATTCCTGGCAGAGCATACTAATATCTGTTGCATATTGTGAATATGATCAAATTAGTTTCTTGCAAATATGATCGAATTGTTTCTTCTTCAAGCCTTGTTGACCTGTTGTAAGAAAATTAAGGAAAGCTTGAAGACTACTGCATAATTTACTTGGAAACAGTACAGGATCTTTGCAGCTTGTGTTTGTCTGCATAGTCATCTGAATTGATCCCCAAGACTTCCTTTCAATTAGTCGGGAAGTAATTAAGCATTTTCAACACAAATTCGCAAAAAAAAAAACAAACGTTGCCCAAGCTGGAGTTTTGATGTCGTCCACATAAGGTGAGTAAAATTAATTGGTTGCATGCTACTGAGCTTTTGCGAAATTCCCCATTGGTTTTATGACAATGTATAGGTATCTGTATATTGACCGGCGTGTAATTTAGATAGTGGGTGGTAGACAATCAGACATGGGATGAGGTAAACTTTCAGCAGTTGGAAAACTAACATAGTAATAATTTCTATATTGAACAACTATCAAATTGAAGTATTTGAGCAATTCGATGAAAATAATTCTTATTTGTACCTGATACCAAGTCACTGTTCTCCTAAGGATTGCCAAGAAGCATGCACATGGTAGAATATACGCCTAAAACCAAAAATATGTATATATAAATGGTATAAACAGCATGACTAAGACCCAAAAAAAAAAACTGAAGGAAAGATAACTCACCACAAACATGGTGAGGAAGGACCCAACTAGTGACATAACAAGTCCTGAAAGGGCTCAAAAACATCAATTAAATGTGAAGATTAGAACAGAAAATAAGCAACATAGTCATTTTGGAAAGTACTGATATAAGTGATGAGAAGGACTTACCGAAGAATGGAACAGAGAGAGCCACAATGAGGGAAGATAGCACAAGTGCTGATCTAAGCATGACTATGTTTGAGTATGTCTGTCGATTAGGAGGTAGCAACTCCTCCATACTAAGGGCAAGAGGAGTCATGGTCAGTGCATATGTGGTTATTAGTTAAGGATATCCAAACTGCTTCCTCCAATTCATATTTAGCTTTTGTCCTATGTCAAATTTCTCTAACTTTGACTGAGTTTACAAAAAAAATTATCAACATCTACAACATCAAATTAATTTGTTTCATTTAATCCACTGTGAAATATATCTTTTATAGTGACTTTTTTGTTATTATAGATGAGAAGTTTGACTTATGACAAAAGCAAAAACGGCTTACAACATGGAACAAAGTATGAAACAACATTATGAGAAACTTGAATTAAATATGCTTTTTTACAACCTAATAAATTGAAAATCTTCTTATTCCGTATAATTGAACTAGCTATCTATTAGTTTGTAATGAACTGCCAACATGTTGTTCAATAATGACAAAGTAGCGTGGGAAAATAGGTGTAAAAAAGACAAAATAACACAGTAAGGATATTTAGTTATTGGATTTGTCACCTGCAAGAAAAAGCAAAGTATACACTATCAGTAGAGTACAATATTCCTAATAACAACATTAAGTATTAGAAGCTATACCAGATGTTACAGAGAATGCTAAAGATGACTGAAATAAAGAGTCATACATAACTTAATTTTACTCAATCATACAAGTGATGCATTTATGTCAACATTGTACTAGATGTCATAGCTTCCTCTAATTTAGACAAGAACAATACCGTTGTCCAGACGGCAATCTTGGAAGCTACCAGATTAGATGGCAAGTTCAATGTGAACTGAGATTCTGTTGATTCACCAAACATTATGTATCCCATAATTGCAGCACCAGCAAACAAAACAGTAGATAATGCAATGCTGTCAAGAAAAAAAAACATAAGCAAAGCTTGGCATCACTGTTTTTTAAAGAACTTATGAATCACAGACATTTGTTCTAGGGTTATTACCAGGTGAAAATAACAGCAGGGAACTGGCTGCGTTTCTTCATGGAAGAGTAGATGTTAGGGAACACTCCATGACCTGAGTAGCAGTAGCCATACAACCCAACGGCAATGGGAATTCCTGGGAGATTCAGTGCTGTCCCTTCATCCTTGGCCTCAATGTGATCAACAAGTCCAACCCAGAACAGGCAAGCAACAATGACTATAGATGCAATCACTCCTCCAGCTATAACAGAATGAACAAGATGAGATCCAAGGCACATTGTGCACCCCTTTTTTTTCCCGATTATATGTATGCGCAAACACCACACTTGCACATCCGTTTGGTGTGTGTCCACATATACTCAAAGTAACAAATACCAGCAGCATATCCTTGGCCCACTATTTTTTTTTTTTTGAAAGAGTACTTGTGTGTGTGTGTAATATTCAATAAGTTCAAGTTTTGCAAATATATTTGGTGAAACAAAGGATTCCGGTGACAAGTGTTGATACCTGAAATGAAGCTTAGACAGCTGAGATCGCGAAGCCAAGTTGTTGGCATGACAATCAGAGTAGTCAGGATTGCGAATAATATATGCGCATTTATTGTAAATGTCCCAATGGTCAGGTGTGCATTGGGGAACAACTTTGACAAATTATCACTCTCTAATATCAGATACTCAATGCAACAGGCCTGTAGAGAAACATTAGGACCAATGAATATGTTGCCAATATTCTGTACAAAATAAAACAGAATGGTTCAAAGTTCAATTCATCTGTTCTTTTTAACACTACAATGTAGAATGCTTTACGGAATAAAGTTGTTCCAGTCTTAACATACAATTCTGGTATATTTGATTTATGATAACCTTTCCAGCTTCTATTCTTGCATAAATTTCAATTTTCAGTAGGGTTAATGCTTGACTTTCTTTTTCTGAAACCAAATTGCTCCACTAAACTCAATATTCTATTACAAACCATTTAGTAATACATTAATTTAACTCTTTCTGTAAATTGCGTTACTAATTTATTCGGGAGAGAGTAATGTTTTTATAGCATCAACTAATAATCTAATACAAATACACAACTAAACTGAATTGTCAGTAAGAAGTACTTACAAACAGTTCCATGTATAGAATTACCTGCAGGTTGAAAGACATCAGAAAATCAGAGTTACCACAGAATCATCATCCATGGAACAACACAATGAAAACATAACAAATTTAAACTGACAGTTTACCGAGATGACGATGCGACCGGTGGTGCCGAAAGCTGCGTGGCCAATGTCCGGGTAGGTCTCAAGGCCTTCCTTGCTGTCCAGGCAGCGTTTCAGCAGGATGCCGGTGTACCATGCCAACACAGCCAACAGAGCCAATATAATCAGCCCAAGCCAGCCACCTTGCTTGACAGCATAAGGCGTTGATAGGACCCCCACACCACACAGGACATTCACTCCTGTATATCACAGAATTGAAATAGAGAATCATATTGCTGGATTGACATATACTGTAAATTTTAACAGAGTAATTGATCTTCTCAGTTCTCACACAGACCTGGAATTTCAACTGTAACAGATGAACTGAGGCTGCAAATACTATATGAGATTCAACTTGTACTAGACATTAATATATTCAAAACCTAGAGAAACTAATTCAGCAGTGAAACTGTGTTCTTCTGTAAGGAAAATGAATTTTTGTATGGTGTTTGGTATAATTACAGTCTGAAATTACACTAAGCAGATGGTAGGATTTAAGTGTACTTACACTCTGAAAGTCTGTTTAATAGAAACACTTTCATATTCATGTTTGCAATGAGGTGTTTCCTGAGAATGGAAAGTCTTGTATATGGAAAAAAATATCCAAATTGTTCTATAATAATAAAGAATGTCTCATCTTTTAAGAAGAATATAAGGCTTATCCTTGTTTTTCTAAGTTATTTAGGTTTAGTAAATAAAATTGTTCTATTGATTTAGAAAAAACACTAAATCCATACTCATGTCACATAATCCCTTGGTAAAAATATTTGATGTTTAGGAAAAATTCAGTTATGTTTTTTTAAAAAATTTTAACCATCAACAGTTCCTCAAATGCTTATTTTAGAAATAAAAGAAATGATATACATAAATTTGTCTCGAAAAATACTATCACAGTATCATAAATTTACTAGATTTAATAAACTTATTATTGCAATATAAATTGAATATTGGAATTTCAAAAGTTTTACTGAATCTTATCCTAAACATCTTGGATGGACCGAGGATAATGTGGAGATTCGTTTTTATGGGAGATACGATGTTGGTCAAGGGCATAAGTATATATTAAATGTGATAGGTCAGTTGGAATGGGAAGTTTACTTTGATTTGGTAAAAGAGTCTCAGTTTAGATCTCTAGAGGTGTTTGCATCAAAGTTAGTTCGTACCGTAGAAAATTTGGATCTAAACAAATCTCCTTCTTATCATTACGTTGAGAAGAATTTTGTGACATATTATTCTCGCCGTGGAGGGGGTGCAAGTAAGAGTGAGTTGGTACGAGAAGACTTGGAGGGTGAAGGAGAGAAGAAGAGACCTTTGCTTGGAAATGATTTATGGGAGGCAGGACCATCAAAGAGACATTGCGGTACTGATGATGTGGATGCAGCGAGGGTGATGAAAAGGGAGTTAGTACAAGAGGGGCTTGATCTAAGTGAACATTTGTCGGCGAGTATTCATTGGTCGTCGTACGGAGTCAACCCTGAATACCCGACAGAAGTAGCAGGCCAATATGTGAATCCAGATGATTACTTTTATGTCGAATTGAGTGGTGGTCACGATTCTGTCTCAGTAGAAGTCAATAGAGATGATGTTGACGAGGAGGCAAGTGTTGAGCAATATGATGTTGAATTTGCTGAAGACTCTGATGATGACCGTCCATTCCCTCCACTTACTAATAATGACAAGTTAGCATTAGAGGAATGTCGTGCGTTTGAGAAGGTGTTTGGGAGGAAGCCGGACATTCCTGAGTTTAGGGACCTAACACATGCCCATGGTGCACTAGTAGATGGCGGCATCAACCTAGATCAGTTGCCAGAACCATTCCAGGTGGATGGTCTCAGAAAGGGTTTAGAGTTCCCATCCATGGTCGCATTGAAGCTATGGCTCCAGGAGTACGCCATCGTGCACCATCGTCCATACCGTGTTGTCAATTCTGCCGCAAATAGGAGGTACACTGTTAAATGTGAAAACCCACGGTGCAAATGGAAGGTCCATGCAACTAAGAGGTCTAGTGGCACGTGGAGGATATCACGGGTAGGTAAGGAACATAGTTGTGCTACTGCCGAAGGTTCAGGGAGCCACCGGCAACTGACATCAAAGTTCATAGCAAATAGGTTATGCAATGCCATAAAACTGCAACCTACACTCTCTGCTTCTGCGTTAGCTTTGTATATATTTGAGGTTTTCCAGTATAGGGTGAAGTATGGCAAGGCTTGGAGGGCACGAGAGGAGGCTATGAAGCTCATTTACGGTGAATGGGGTGAAGCGTATGTCCGTTTGCCCACTTTGCTGCAAGCCATTAAGCAGAGGAATCCCAGTATGGTCTACCACATCGATACTCATCCTGATAGGGTTGTCAACGTTGATGGAGTGACCAAGAAAATTTTTATGCGTGCATTCTGGTGCTTTGGTCCTTCCATTGAGGCTTTTAAGCATTGTAGGCCAGTACTAGCTATAGATGCAACCTTCCTAACTGGGAAATACGGTGGTGCCTTGATGACTGCATTATCAGCTGATGCGGAGGACCAACTTGTACCTTTAGCTTTTGCCTTGGTGGAGAAAGAGAATTCACGAGACTGGTGCTGGTTTATCGATCTTGTCCGACGGGTTGTGGTTGGGCCGCATAGAGAGGTTTGTATTATCTCAGATCGACATGCTGGTATAATGAATGCCATGATGACTCCTGTTCCAGGATTGCCATCGGTTCACCACCGGTGGTGCATGAGGCACTTCAGTGCTAATTTCCACAAGGCCGGTGCGGACAAGCATCAGACAAAAGAGCTCCTAAGGATATGTCAGATTGACGAGAAGTGGATATTTGAGAGGGATGTTGAGGCACTAAGGCAGCGTATTCCCGAAGGTCCTCGTAAATGGCTTGAAGATGAGTTGTTGGATAAAGATAAGTGGTCTCGTGCATACGATAGAAATGGCCGCCGGTGGGGTTACATGACAACCAACATGGCCGAACAGTTCAATAGCGTGCTAGTTGGTGTTCGTAAGCTTCCAGTGACGGCCATCGTATCATTTACGTTCATGAAGTGTAATGACTACTTTGTGAACAGACATGATGAAGCTTTGAAGCGAGTCCAGTTAGGGCAGCGTTGGTCCACCAAGGTTGACAGTAAGATGAAGGTGCAAGAAAGTAAGGCGAACAAACACACTGCAAGGTGTTTCGATAAGCAGAAAAAGACATACGAGGTCACAGAGAGGGGTGGTATAACGCGTGGTGGTGTTAGATTCGGCGCAAGAGCCTTCAAAGTTGAAGGTGAGGGGAACTCATGTTCTTGCCAAAGGCCATTGCTCTACCATATGCCTTGCTCACATCTTATACACGTTTATCTGATTCATGCAATTGATAAGGAATCTCCCAACCGAATGCCGTATCAGTTCTCTTCAAGAGCCGTTGTGAACACATGGGCAAGTCGCTTTGAGCCATACCTCGACCCCACACAGTGGCCATCGTACGATGGTGAAGAATTTGTTGCTGACCCAAATTTGAAGATTAAAACAAGAGGGAAGAGGAGATCGAAACGATTCAAGAACGAAATGGACTCAGGTCTGGGTGGTTCTGGAAGGAAACCACCTTCATGCGTTCAACTTGATGCTGCGCCGGTGCAAAATAGATGCTCGTTGTGTCACCAGGAGGGTCACAAGAAAACTAAGTGTCCTAAGCGTCCAAAAAAGAAGAAGTCCAAAAAAAATTTAAGTGTTAGGGAGGTAAATATTTTGTTTTCCTACTCATGTTCTCGCATTCATTTTCTTTTAATATATGTCACATTGGTAACTAACGGTGAATTTATTACTTTTTCATGTAGGATGGCCGAGGAGGGACAACCGCCGACTTACCCAGCCTTGGAGGCGTACTACGAGGCCCGTCATCGCGGGGCTGCGATCGAGGCGGGGAGGGTATGAATCGGCATTGATTCACTTGTGCATAAGTATCGGTAGCGTGTATTTGACATTATATTAACTAATTGATTTACAATTGCTAATGCAGGTACTTCAACCGCTCCGAGTCAGAGCTCATGCCCCCCCAGTGTTCGACGATAGGTACATCCCGTACCTAAGGGCTGCCGGGTTGCTCGGGGTGGCCTTGGTCGTGAGCAGAGGAATGCCAGTGTTCAACGCTCCTGCGTTGACAGCACTTGTGGACAGATGGAGGCCTGAGACACACAGCTTCCACCTCCCCAGTGGTGAGATGACCATCACTCTACAGGATGTGGCTATGATCTTGGCCCTCCCATTACGGGGGCATGCCGTGACGGGCAGGACAGATACTCCTGGATGGCATGCACAAGTGCAGCAGCTGTTTGGCATTCCACTGAACATTGAGCAGGGGCAAGGGGGGAAGAAGAAGCAGAATGGAATACCCCTGTCTTGGCTGAGTCAGAACTTCTCACATCTTGACGACGATGCTGAGCCATGGCGTGTTGAGTGTTATGCCCGTGCATACATCTTGCACTTGTTGGGAGAGGTTCTGTTTCCTGATGCTGGGGGTGACATTGCTTCGGCGATATGGATTCCTTTGGTCGCCAACCTTGGTGATCTGGGCCGTTTCAGTTGGGGGTCAGCAGTGTTGGCGTGGACATATAGACAGCTCTGTGAGGCCTGTTGTCGTCAGGCACCATCATCCAACATGAGTGGTTGTGTGCTATTGATTCAGATGTGGATGTGGTTAAGACTACCGGTTGGAAGGCCTAAGTGGAGGCAAAGCTTCACTCCTTGGCCCTACAATGAGCCAGACATGGAGAAGACAGTGGCCTACCTTTTTGAGAGTACTGCCACTGCACATGCTCACCGGGATGTGGCATACAAGCATTATGTCAATGAGATGGACTGCTTGCAGCCTCAACATGTAAGTACTTCCAATATCACTTCTAGTTAGACATTTACTTCTTTAATTGAGATACTAACCAACGACATCTCTTCAACTTTTGCAGATTGAGTGGTTACCATACCACACAAATGAGGCTTCAAGCCTGACCCTGAACTCGATGTGCAATCGAGACTCTGACTATTTCATGTACCAGTGCCCATTGATTTGTTTCTGGGCAGTTGAGTACCACCTTCCGCACCGTGTCATGCGACAGTTCGGGAAGAAACAAGATTGGCCGGTTGAGGACATCTCAACTGGAGTTGAATTACACAAGTAAATATTTCTTATCTTTGTTTGCTTTCATTGTCAATGTTCAATTTTGTACCATTTAACCCTTGTCGATGCTCACTACTATTTCATCACCTTCTACTTGTCTAGGTATGACAGGGTGAGAACAAAGAAGGTGAAAGACTGGGGGCTAGAGCATAATAGATACATTGATGAATGGAGAATAGCCGGAAGGAACGATAGGTACATCGAAACTATACACCAAAATCATCTTTTCTCAGAGTACCTTCGTTGGCTGCATAGGACATATAGACTGTTCCTCCGCCCTACTTGGACGGAAGCCGACATAGAGGATGACCGCGACTCCGATGAGGGGCGGAATCCCTATGATGTCCGGACTAGAGTTGGATATCAAATGGAGCACGCCCCACTTAGAGACAGAGTCGTAAGTTTTCTTGCATTTGTCAAAGTTACTTACATTTGCACCCTAGACCCTAACATATATCTTTTCACGCTTTCAGTCGAGAGAGCTCCTCAGGAGTGTGAATGAAATGGGGCATGCCCTCCAAGCTCCGAGGGGTGGTGAGGACACGGAGAACACGCTCCGCAATGTTTTAGAGGTAAAATTTATTTAGCACTTTGCATTACTTGAGTTATGCCTAACAAACTTTTTTTTTTTTGAAATGCAGAAAGTTCGTCAAAGGTGCCGGAAACTTGCAGCAAGATTAGGTTGCAGGTCGGTTGGATTGGACGACGTGTACCAACCGGGGAGACTACCACCACCACTACCTCAATCCGCGCGTCCAAGTACTGCTCGACACTCCATCAGGATAGAAGAGCGTGACGGAGTTGGTGGCTCGTCGTCGTCACGCATTAAGCAAGGGAGGGGAAAGGGGAAGGCGCCGGCTCCACCTAGCGACGACGATGACGATGAGGACGAGGAGGATGAGGACTACGTCGCACCAGACGCCGAGGAGATAGACATGTCACAGCTTCCCGACGCGCCTCAGGGGACGCAACCCACGCAATACAACTTGCGATCCACTCGGGCAGCGAAAAAGAGGTAAAATGAGCTTACCATTCTCAAATGTTATTTGATTTCCCTTATTTTGTTTTTAAAATGTTTTAAACATTGGATTTTCAAATGTAGGTATACTCCGGGCTCGCAAGCAATTCGGCGCCAACGGAAGAAGTAATTTGTATGAAGTTAATTTATTGGTTGGTAGTATGACATATGTGGTGCACTATGTGATATAAAATGTGATGGACTATGTGAGGAATATGTGATGGACTTTTGACATTGTTTCATGTGTGGAATATAGGATGGACTTTTTGCATTGTTTGATGTGTGGGATATGTGATGGACTTTTGGCATTGTTTAATGTGTGGAATATGTGATGGACTATGTGAGGACTATGTGATGGACTTTTGGCATTGTGATTTGTGCAATTGGAACCTGTTTTAGTCTGTACGAATCTGTGAATTGTGATTTGAATTGCGAACTGTGAATTGGTACATTTGTGCAATATGGATCTACAATTTGCAGGGAGGCAGAGGGCGGCGCCAACCACCCTAGCGCCGAGGTTGAGAAGGGCGGCGCCAGCCAGTGCCGCGAGGCAGAAGGGTTTCGGGCTGGGGGAGGGCGGCGCCAGCTACCCTGGCGCCGTGGTCCATGAGGGCGGCGCCAGCCGAGGCCCGGAGGCAGAAGGGCTTCGATGGGTGGAGGAGGGGGGCGCCAGCCACCCTGGCGCCGCGGTCGGGGGGGGGGGGCGCCAGCCGTTGCCTGGAGGCAGAACAGACTTGGCGAAAATTTTGGGGGGGGAGAAAGTTGGTGGGGCCCGCAGAGGAGGGGCGCGCCAGCCATGCTGGCGCCGTGCTATGAGGGGCGGCGCCACTTTGGCTGGCGCCCCCTTCGGCCTAGTCAGCACCTCCATGACAGCCCTATTGCCACGGTGGCACGGGCACGGCGCCAGTGTGGCTGGCGCCGCCATGTTGGGGTACGGCGCCAGCCACTCTGGCGTCCCAAAAAGAACCATTTCCGGTTTAAGTTTTCCCAGGGGTCTATTTGTAAAATAAGTTTTCAAAAAGGACCAAATTGTAAAAATTTCAGCATTATTTTTAATCCGCAGATCATGCGTCCAGGTTCAGTGGTTAATTGAGTATGACATGATCTAGTCTATGTTTTTTTTTAAAAAAAAAGAAACATAAAATTGTACGCATGAAACATAGGCAAGCTGGCAAACGGTGTTCTGTACACGTTTAATGTTGATACTCTAATAATGAAGTATTTCTGTTCACCCGTAGTAAGGTTAGAATGAAGAGTCTCCCTTGGAGGAAATTTTTATATAAAATTACAGGAATAGAGAAAACACACATAACTCCGTCCCAAAATATAACAACTTTTAGCCTCAGAATTTATCCCAAAATATAATAACTTCTTCACCACATTATCTTCCCAACCAATCACAACCCTCCACCATTCACTTTTTCTATATACCTCCACTACTCATCCAATCACAACCCTCCACCATTCACTTCTACCTACTTTATTAATAACCGTATCAAACTCTAAAACTTATTATATTATGGGACGGAGGGAGTAGAATTTTAAAGTTTGATTTTCTAAGAATGAAGTAGGGAGTTTAATTGTCCTCTCATAATCATGAAAAAAAAGAAATAGACAAGGAAGTAACACAGAAAACCCCAAAGGGCCTATTCATTTTGGAGGAATTTCAACGCATAGGAATAGGAAAAATAAACGAATAGGATTGCATACACGCTTTAATCCATAGGAATTTTTCCATGAGGTTTGTGTGGATGAAAAATTCCCTTTGTTTTCTGTATAGGAAAGGAAAACTTCCTTTGGTTTTCCTATATTTACATTCCTATGACCCCAATGACATTCATATGAATTAGTATTTAGGAATCTAAATGCTTTGAAATTCCTCCAAAACGAATAGGCCTAAAATTAATTATCAAACCAAATGCACCCAGAACATACCGTTCAAGACGCCCTGAGTGTAGGTGCACTGCCGGTAGGGCCCAACCTCGTGGTGTCCAACCACCAGCGGCTTCTGATCCTCGGGGATCTTCTGCAGAGACGACGGCCTCCTCGGCGGCAGGAGGTACTGCGAGCTCTTCCGGCCATCTTCGTGCTGCTGTTGCCGGCGGTCACCTTCGTCGTCGGCCGCCGCCGTCGTCGGCAGCAGTGGCTTGATGAGCCCGGAGATGATCTCCGGCGGCTTTCCCCGGAACGAGGCGGTCAGGAATGAGTTTGATAGACGGCTCAGCGTCGGAGTGCCCAGGAAGCTCAGGTTCGGGGATTGCACGCTACTGTACATGTCAATCGACTGCCTGTTGATGCATAGAAAGAAAAAAACATGATCAAATTCTTGTGATTCAACGTTGCTTATTAATTCTGAGATTGAGCTATGATGGAAACTGCATTTGAACATTTAGTGAAGAAATTATGCGTGCTTGTTCTGGTTCATATAAACGGAACCAGAGTTTGGAATTTCGGTTTGGAATTTCGGATCTACTTCTGTTTAATTCTTGGTAGGAATTTACTCTGGTCTAAATTTTTTGATTTTGTTTCACTGCAACGAAATTTGCGCATACACAGCAAAAACTAATTTCACTGAAAATTCCATTTTGATATTTCTGAAAATTTTCGGAAATTTCAGTCGCCGTGTTTCGTTTTCTTAATTTCTTTCCAAAATGTAAAATACTATATATTCAGAACAGATAAAAAATTGGCAAAGGCGCCGATAATATTGATCTGAAATTCTGAATATTCAGATTGCACAACGCCCCACTGATTCTCTCTCCTTCTCTCAGACAAAATTATTTTGGAAGAACAGATGGGGACCAACTGAAGCTGCCAAGTCAGCACCAGGGACCACAGGAACAGTGACACGTAGCACCAATTCCAGTACTAGCCGTGACACGTCACTATCGTGGGCCCACATGTCAATGGCTTCTGCAATCCACCTATAGGTTCACCAACACGTGTCCTCACACCCCGATGCCATCCCAAATGGCTACTGCATATCCTGAATATTCTGGCCATCATAGGCCTATCAGGATCAGAAGGCATCTGAAATATAATCAACTAAAATTTTCGAAGAATATGTCATGTGGTATGTCTATGCCAAATAAAAATGTATAAATCATTGTTCTTAGTTTCAAACTGTTCTTGCAGAGACTCTTTTAGTGTGTTTGGATAATGGGATAAGAATAGTGGGATTGGAATAGGGAAATGGATAAAGGGCTATGATAAAACGAGGGAGGGATAATGGATGGCTAGGATTAGAAGAAACTCTTTGTTTCCCCAACCCATTAGCCAAACAGGCCTTTGTGTGCTAGTAAAAAGAAGTTAGAATCTAAATTTGTATTTTGCTTTTCTACCTACCAGATGTTCATTATCCAAGAAACGTACCAAATGAGTTGTTGAGAAACAACAGAAAAACTGCCATACTTTCTTTTTTTTTTTGAAAAAAGTGTTGCATTGCAAAATTCACAGTTAAAAAAAGTAAGACTAGTGGTGATTAATTAGTACGGGATGGCAAACTGAACTCTCCAGAAAAGAATGGAAAAGACTGAAATTATTCGACTGTAAACAGAAAAGTTTGGACTTTTATTGACGCGTGGCACTGCGAAAGAAAAGAAAAAAATATAAAGAAGAAATGAACTTGCGTCGGCGAACCTGTAGCTCTGAGGCCACTGCTGCGTATAGGAGCTGGGCTGGCTGCCGCGGCCGCCACCGCCACCGCCGGCGGCGGCGACCCGCGGGGTACCGCACGAAGACGACGAGTCCGACCCGTCGTCCGACTCATCGCCGCCGTGGCCGCGACGCTTCCCATCCTCGACGGCGGCGGCGGCGTCGTCCTCCTCGTCGCTGTCGATGAGGAAGCTCCGGTCCGACACCGAATTGTCCATCTCTCGCAGTAGACCTCGTGCTGAATGCAAATGCAAATGCAGCAACGATGGATCGGGGGGAGAGAGAGGGAGAGAGAGACACTCTGTGTGTGTGTGTGTGTGTGATGAGGACGGGTTTATATTGCGGCGGTGTGGGCGCTAGCCGCTTAGCAAGCGGCCGGGATGCATTCAGTGGCGGCGACAGCGGTCGAACGTACTAGAGGTGAAACGAAACAAACAATAAGATGAGCATGTGGTGTTTATTAACCGAGGCCATTATCCTTAGTAGCAATGATGTCGAATTAACCTATTACTCTCCCTCTGTCCCAAAATAAGTGCAGCTATGAGTTTCCGTATCTAACTTTAATCGTTCGTCTTATTTAAATTTTTTTAAAAAAACTAAAAAAAATATGTCACGAGTAAAGTACTATTCATCTTTTATCATCTCATAACAATAAAAATACTACTCATAAAAAATTTCAAATAAGACGAACGATGAAAGTTGGACGCGAAAACTTATGGCTGTACTTATTTTGGGACGGAGATAGTACCAAATAGAAGACACGATACTATGGATTTGGATAGTAGACACGTCTACTCCCTCCGTCCCAAAAAAAAGGCAAACCCTGGGTTTGCGTGTCCAACTTTGACTGTCCGTTTTATATGAAATTTTTTTATAATTCGTATTTTTATTGTTGTTAGATGATAAAACATGATTAATACTTTGTGCGTGACTTGTCTTTTTAATTTTTTTCATAATTTTTTCAAATAAGACGAACGGTCAAACATTGCGCACGGAAACCAGGGTTTGTCTTTTTTTGGGACGGAGGGAGTAGATTGATATGTCCTCACCACAATAATTTGTAGTTTTCTTGATGACCACATGATATCATTGGCAGTCAAAAATAGTCATCAAGTTTAGTCATTGTCTTAGCGGTTAAAAGTTTGTTACTCTCTTCGTCCCATTTTAAATACATTCATCAGTTTCCGTGTCTGATTTTGATCGTCCGTCATTTTTTTATGATTAGTATTTTTTTCTTTTTAGATGATAAAACTTTATGAGTGATTTATGTTTTTATTTTTTTTTTCAAATAAGACGAATGATTAAGGTTGGATATGGAAACTCATGACTACACTTAAAATGTGACGGAGGGAATATATTTTAAGATGGATGTACTATTTATCATCGCTGATCTGCACTTGGATAACTAACAATCTAGAATTATTAGATTAATTATGATGAATGAAAGCCTACTACTTGTGTTAATATTTAGTATGTAATACGCTTTAATAATATGACATGTATTTCAATATTTTGTAAAATTTTGAAGAGAAATATAAATGGTTAAAGTACAAATATAAATAGCGCTAGTTGAAGAAGCATCCACGTGAGTAGTGTCCTAATGATATTCCGTTGGAGTAGCATGGAAGGGTGAGGGTGAGTAGCATGGAAGGGTGAGGGTTGCTTATAATTTGAGTCTCATGATGCCCATCCTTTATACTCAAGTTTCATGAATTTTTAAGATAAAAAAAGTTTCATGAATTACTTTGATTTTTCTCTATTTCCCACTAAAAATCATGAATTCTGCTACTCGATCCCTTCATTTTAAATTACATGTCGGCCTAATTCTAGAGTTCATTTTTTTTCTAACTAAAATACTTTTCATTTTCATATTCCAATTAAACACTTTAAATGTGAATTTCCTTTTATATCCTTTATTAATGCAGTCACACGTCAATGTAGTCACAGCTCTAATGGACTTATTTCAACTAATAAAAGTTAACGACTACTGCAGAAAATTCAATTGCGTAATCTACTTAAGGAATGGGTAACAATGTAATTTGTCATATTTTTTTTGTGGAATTTGCTAGAACAATAAGTAATTTTAAATCAAAGGGGTAAATAAAATAAAATCCCTTGCCAATGTGTAGTTTTACTGGTGTACATGGTCTCCTCACAAAGTCCTTGCCCCTATTTCACGCGAGCCAACATTATTCTGTCGATTTAGATTTCGCTGGTGCTATATATATATTTTGTAGAATTAGTCAATTCGAAGTAATTTATAATGTATTTTTTTTCTCTCTCTCTCTCATGTGGAGCAAACCAAGGGCATGTGACTTTGTAACATGTGTGGTCTGCCACCGGCCGGTTGCAATGGGTGTTGTTTGGTTGCAAACTTGCAAGTGCAATACGCCCGAGATTGCAATAGCTACTTGTTCTTGGCCTCATTTGGGTGGCTTACGTTGCGTTCATTTTTCGAATGAGATGATTGCAATATGCATGGATTCTCCAGCTCTTGTGCATTGGCTTTAACTTGCCCTTTGCAGTTGATTAGGGCCGCAAAATACAGGAGTGTGCGCCCCTGTGAATGTGAGGTTTTGAGGTGTTGGGCTGTCCCGGTTGCAATAGGTATTTACGTTTCTTTTTCTCATCGAGAGTAATCAGAAACACCACGGTCATACTCACACTGCACAACACCACACATCTACATATGTGGACGCCCTCGGCATTTAGTGCAATTGCAAAATATTAAGGAATAATTGCTCTTTTGCCACTGCTGGGCGTCCTATTTGGCAATATGCCACTGAAAAAGAGCTAATTGCTCCAATGCCACTAGAACGAGAAAAAAATCATTTGAGATGCCACTGCCGTTTTGTTCCGTCGATGGCCGTTAACTGCTCGGTAAAAAAATAGGGCCAACTGTTCCAAAAAAAATATTAAGCATTTACTATATGGGGTTAAAAGTTCTATTGACCATTCAAATACTTCATCCGTCCCATTTTAAGTGTAACCATAAGTTTTCGCGCCCAATTTTGATCGTCCGTCTTATTTGAAAATTTTTTATAATTAGTATTTTTGTTGTTATGTGATGATAAAACATGAATAGTGCTTTACTCGTGACTTATGTTTTTAATTTTTTTTTCAAATAAGATGTTGGTCAAAGTTAGGCGCAGAAAACCATTGCTGCACTTAAAATGGGACGGAGGGAGTAGTTAAATTTCCTCTCATTTCTACTTCATCCGTCCTAAAATGTAAGAAAGTAGGTGAGACTGATTGGAGGAAGTTTCCTTCGTCCCAAAATATAAGAAATTAGGTGAGAATGATAGGAGGAAATGTGTGATTGGTTGAAAAGAAAAAGTAGGTGGAGGAGAATGGTTGTGATTGGTCGAGATGAGGAGGTAGGTGGATAAATAGTTTCATTTTGGGACAAGGTATTGTGCTAGAAATAGCTACATTTTGAGACAGAGTAATATGAACCCTAGATCGATCCATTCATGGGCGTCGACGGCGGTTTCTGATGAGTAGGGAGTTGTAGCTGCGTCCTAGAGAACAAGGGCAGAATGGTAATTACCCCAGTCAAACGTGTTGACTAACAGAATTATTTGATCCTAACGACAGAGTGCCATTTTGGCGTGCCCAACTGTGAAACCAGTGGCATTCTACCAATTGACCAAAAACCAGTGGCAGAATGACAAATACGGTAAACCCTAGTGGCATTTGTGTAATTGGCCCTATTATTAAAGGTATAGAAAACTTGGAAAGTCGACTCATGATACCCACACCAAGGGTCGGTTCACTACAACCGCTCTTTGATAGTTTCCTGTCTATTTATATATATTTTAAAAAAAAACACAGTACAAACGTGATGTTGTTTATATGCCAGAGGAAACCCACCGTCTCTTGTCCGAGTGCGTCAAATTTGTACAATTTCTTTCAAGCAACATGTTTAAAAGATATGGATCCATATTATTTACTTTTGTGCATGTCTGAGTTGGTTAGCTCTGCGGCTGTACTACTCATCTACTCGTATCTCCTGCGGTAATCCAAGATACAGTGCATCTTATTTTTCTTTTTGCTGATAGATATTTAATTTCTTTTTTCATTGTAACAATGGGGTCTCGCAAAAAAAATGTCGAAATACCTAATTGGTGCTGCCTCGCAAAAAAAAAAGTCAAAGTTAATTACATAAAACCACTCAGGATCGAACAAATGCATATCCCGCTGAATTTTAATTTTTTAAAATGATTTTTCTTCTGATATTATTTTCCATAATTTTGGGGATTTTATTTTTTTCAACCCCCATTTCTCTTCTTTCTTCTTGTTTATCCCCAATTCGAAAATCCTACGCGCGCGGGTCTTTTGGACGAGCAGGCCTTCGGAACTACATCCTCTAGAGTATCTGCACGGGGTAGGGAAGCGTGTTTCTTTGCACGACTACTCTTTGTTTCGACAAATTTGACTACTTCATCTACTTTGTGTTCATGTTCGAGATGTCGACGAAATAGAATGGCAACACAGACACTGGCAATGCTAATGCCAACACCAACCACTAGTGCACCTGGATCAAATGTTTCTGGTTTATTCTCTGGGTATCACTACTACAGAAACACAAAAAGGATACGGCACTATAGGTGCTAGAATAGCTAAACCAGCACCTATAGTGCTTTTTACCTCTAACGCACGCCCACAGAGCGCCATCGGCTAGAACCGACATCTTTGTGAAGAAATAGGTGTCGTTTCTAGAGAAAAACCAAAACAAATACTACATGTGCTGATTTATCAAGAAAAACCAACACCTATAATTTATTAATCTACATGTGCTGAGTTAAATAGGTGCTATTTAATTAAAAAACAGACACCCGTAATAACCAAGCTGAGCCGAGCCGGCTAATCGCGAGCGGATATGGAGAGGGAAGGGCAGAGTGGGTGTCCTTATCCACTCTAGTCACCTCCGCCATCTCTCTCTCTCCACTCATCACCTGGCCACGAGGGCACCGCGACCAGCGTCGATCTGCCCAGAGGCGGTACGAGCCACTGAGGCCACCGCGCACGAGGTGCTACTATGGGTGGCGCCCACAGAGGAGGCGGAGCGGCGCCGACAATTTGGATCTGGCGTAGATCACGGATGGGCGTTAGCGGCTTCCCACGGCCGATCCGACAGCGACCACGTCGGCGGCGGCTTTCCCACGGCCGCGGTGGTGGATGTTCTTGATGTGTTCAATATTGTATTGTTCTTCAATGTTGTTGACGTGTTCATGTGTTTTTGGATGTTGTTGATGTTCTTGGATGCCAATTATTAATATTGATGGAATCTGATCGAGCTGAAGGGATCTGCTCGTCAAGCCGCTTTTTTTATTATTATTTTTTTGCATTTCTAGAAACTAAAGGTGTCAGTTTAGGAACCAACACCTTTGAGTCCTC